GAGAAGGCTCGGCAGTCAGAGGGGAGCAGCTGACCCTGCTTCTCTCTACCCTGCACCTCCACCACCCCGCAAGCACCCTCATGTCTTCTTCTCTGGGAAAGCCGCCTCCTCCATGCAGGCCTCTGGGGTGCTCAGGAAGTGGGGGTATGTGCTCTTTCTCTCTCTGGGACCGGCATTCTGACCTCCCGGAAGAGAGACACAGTGCTGTGGCTTATGGGTCGCCTGGCGGAGCCCCCAGGTCACAGAGGTGGAGTGGGGAAGGGAGTATATTCTCTCTTCCCTGGCTGTTGGGGAGGAAGTGGGGGTAATTTGCGCCAAGTCAGATTGGGGGCAGGGGAGAGCCTCCTCACCCTTGGCCTCACGTGCCCAGAAGGGGTCACATATGGGGATTAACATGTGTGGAACTGCTTTGGGGGGGTCTCCAGCGGAACCCGGCAGCACCCCGGGACAAAGCCTCGATTGCTGGCTCCGAGTTCCGAGTTCCGGCAGGAGAAGTGCGGCCCCGAGGGGACTGTCCTGTCATCCTCACGCGCAGTGACGGGGCAGGCATGCCTTTCACCCCACTGCACCCCACCCTGATTGCACATCTCATCACCCCCAGAGCCCAAGCCGCAGCCCTCGAGGGTCTCTCCAAGACTCTCCAAGCTCTGGAGGTGACTGACGCACAGCCAGTGCTGGAAGCAAAGGCCTGAGGGTTGGGCTCCCTGCCCCCCCACTCCTCGGGAGTCGTCCCACCACTTCCGGGTCAGGCAGCGCAGGGGGAGGACTCAGCCCTCTCCACTACCTCCAGCTGCCCCGGGGCACCGCCCCAGGCTCCTCTCCCTCGAGGGACCCTCCTTTATGGGGTGTGGGGGGCTGTCCAGTGCGGACAGGGAGCCCTTGCTCTACCCTCGACAGCCCTGATGCTGCAGTGCTCAGAGCCAGCCCTGTGGGGGGACTTGGGGCCGCACCGGGGAAGGAATCGGGGTGCAGACAAGCCCGCGCTCCAGCCCCGGGAGCAACCCCTGCCCATCGGCCCTTCTGTGCCCTCTACTCTCTACTGACTCCCACCAAGCCCCCTCACCCCCTTCCCCAGACCCCCCAGTGCTGACAGTCGCTCGGGTCATCACAGAGGGTGGCGGTGAGGTGGCAGAGGCAGGGCTGAGTTCCAGGCTGGGGACGCTCCATCGTCACCGCATCCATGGGGTCCAACAGAAGCCCAAGGGGGGAGCCACCCACTCTGGGGGTGCAGGGTCCACCGCCCACGGTGCTGCTCTCCACACTCTCGGATCACTTCCGGTGGCCATACCCGCCATCCTCCAGTGGTTGGCACCACACAAGGCAGGCGCCCTTCCCACTGCAACCGCCCGCGCCCTTCCTTGAGTAGTGAAAAGCTACTGCCAGAGGCTCGGGCAGAGGCAGCCTTGTGCCCTCACGCCCTCACAGACCTCTCGGAGCATCTCTGGCTCAATCCCGAAGTACACCAGGGCCAGTCCTCTCATTAGTGGTGTTGCTCTGAGGGCTCATGTCCCCTCCCTGCACCTCGGTTCATGGTTGTTCCTCAGATTCACTCCATGGGGGGGCCGTAGGGACCGAAGGAGACTCTGGGCCTGGTACATAACAGGTGCTCAAGAAACACTGGGGTTTTCTTGAAGCGGCGGCGGTGGCCGCCCAGGGTCAGGGAGTAGAGGGTGGAGCCACACACAGCCACAGACCCCCGTTGCCATCCAACACCCTGCGCTGAGACCCCACATCTTCTGAGGCGAGCCAGGCTGCACCTCAAATCCCGCCCAGTGTCCTCGTGTGAGCACCTAAGGGACTTCCACTGGACCCCCTTTCTTGGGGACACCACAGGCAGGGAGGAGCAGTCGTCACTGACTCCAGATGGACCAAAGTCCTTCGTGCCCCGACTCCCCAGTTACGGGGTCAACCAGGGAGTGACCCCGGAGGCCCCTTTCCAAATGGGCTTGGCCATGCTGGACTTCCTCCTGCTGACCTGGGCCTCCGGGGATGGGGAGCCCCGTGGAGGGGACCCCAGGGGTGGCTCGTCCCATCAGGGTACAGTGCTGTCCCCTGCCCCCGGAATCCCCCCCCATCCGGCAACACCACTTCCCCTCACCCCGCCAGCGGCGACTCCCAGCTCCGCACAGCCCGCTGCCGCCGCTTAGGCTCCCCAGTGGGCCCCATCATCTCATCCTCATCAAACATGCAGCTCTGTTGTCACACAAGCCCCCCCAGAGGGACGCACATAATACCCCTGATTTCTCCTCCCCACCCCGCACCCCCCCAGCCCTTTGTTTCGGGAGGGGCCGTACACGGTGTCTGGAAATGTTGCTGCAATTAAATATGCACAGCGCAGGGGAGGGGGGAAATGAGGACAATGAACGAAGAGAAACATCAGATGCAGCAGCTGCTGGTTACCATGGAAACCCAGCTCCCACCACCGCCACCGGCCGCACCCCCTTCCCGGCTCCAGATGCCACTTGGGCCCCTGCGCTGAGGTCCTGGGGTGCTGGGCACCGTGCTGTCCCAGGGGCCTGGGTGCTGCTGGGCTCGGTGTGGGGGAGGGAGCTGCTTTTCCTCACGACCCCACCCCCACCCCCACTTCCTCCTGGTACTTCAGCGGAGCAGCAGCCCCCTCCACCTCACCCTGGCAGTGCCACTCCGGAAACAAAGTCCCAAGCCCTGGCACCCTTGGCTGGGCTCAGACATCTTGGCCTCAAGGCAGTTTGGAGGAGCGAAACCTTTTGGGGGGGACTTCCCTTGGATCCCCGCTGCAGGGCGTGGCTCCCACCCCTTCCACATCCAGGGGTGTCAGCACATGCCTGCATGAGTGCTGCCGGGCAGGGCAGGGGTCCTGGGTCCAGGGTCCAGGGGACCCTGGTACACACATCTGGAGCGGGGTACCCTGAAATGCACCTTAGCAAGGAGCCAGGTGTGGCCCCCGAGCTGGCCAAGAGCCTGTGTGCAGTGGGCAGAACCTGAGCTCCTTCCCCTCGGGCAGGGGCTGGACAAGGCAGCTCTGCTCGGCCAGCCAGGTAAGGGCCCCACCACTGACCACGTGCCCCCCACAACGACGTGCGGGAAGGAGGGGGAGGAATAAGTACAGACCAAGCAACGTGCGGTAGAAAGCCAGGCAGACCCCGCCTGAGGACGTTATCTGAACCCCTGTGAAGTCAATAGTGATTAAAAGTTAAAGTCGGGCTGGGGCGGATCAGAGAGATAGAACTGTGTGGAGGGCACTTGCCTTGCAGGCGACTAGCCCAGGTTGGATCCCCAGCACCCCAGGGGGTCCCCTGAGCCCACCAGGAGCGATCCCTGAGCACGATGGGTGTGTCCCCCAAACAAAGCAAAACTTCATTTAAAAATCAGGTCCATGGGGCTGGAGCAATAGCACAGCCGGTAGGGTGTTTGCCTTGCACGTGGCTGACCCAGGTTCGATTCCCAGCATCCCATATGGTCCCCCAAGCACTGTCAGGAGTAATTCCTGAGTGCAGAGCCAGGAGTAACCCCTGAGCATTGCTAGGTGTGACCCAAAAAGCAAAAATTAATTAATTAATTAATTAAAAATAAAATAAAAATCAAGTCCTGGTCCGCTTCACTCGCAAGAAAGACGGGCAGGGATGGGGTTGGCAGTGGGAGGGAGGGCGTCGGGGATGAGGGATGGAAGGTTTCCCTAGAACTCTCCACAGGGTTGGCACTGCCCCTGAGGTGGCCCAAGGAGAGCCTGGGAGGAAGTAGCAGCCCTTGGCACTGGGCTGGGGGTGAGGCTGCACGGGGCCCGTCCCTGGAGATGGTCGCAGGAAGGCCACGTGACTTTGCCAGCGTGAGGGCCATATGCTTCTTGGCCTCTGGGCGTGCCCACTTTCCAGGTGCTGAGATGGACTTGATTGGGGTGTGGTGTAAGGGAACAGAGAGGGGATTGAGGGCGGGAGGGGTCACACAGCCCAAAGGATGGATCTGAGGCGGGTGGGGCTCCCAGATGCTTCCTGCTGATGGGCTATCTGCTGATGCCATGTGTCCTGTGCGGGTGAGCACTGCCCTCTCCCCACCATCTTCCTTCCCCCTGGGTACCTCTGTGCTGACCAGTGCCCCCCACCCACAGGGGCAGTGGGAGCTGGGGGTCCCCCACACCTGCCCGGGGAGGCAGCCTGGCCCCAGAGGGTGGGCCGGGGCCTAGTTAGATTCTCGGTCTGACTAACCAGGACTTGGGAGGACCCTGCCATGGGCTCAAGCGCCCCCCGCACCCCGCTCCATGTACACATCCCTGGTTCCTGTTCAGGGTTTGGCCTGACAGAGTCTGTCCTGCCGCTGAGTGTGACACTAGGTGCTCTTCCGCACAGGGGTGCCCTCCCGCGCCCCCTGCCCACCCCCCTGTCGCAGAAACCTGGGATAGCTGAGGACAGCCAACCGGTGGGGACCCCTGGATCTCCCGGAGGGTCTTGACCTCGCCTCTGCCCACGTCCCCCAAGGGTGCCGCTTCGTCTCCTTCCTGGTTCCCCGGCACACGTGACGGTGGGGCGGGCATGACTCCGACATCACTCCTCGAACATGGATGACAGTCAAGTGGACCGGGCTGGGCTTTGGCTCCAGGGCAGAGGAAGAGCTGGGCCAGGGAGGGCCCGAGTGGGGGCTGCGAGACCTGGACAGAGGCGGGGAGGGGGCGAGTGGGGGCTGCGTGGCCTGAGCACTGCACCCGAGTCTCCACAAGCGTCTCTGCAAGGGGCAGGTGGTGGCATCAGACGCTTTCAGGACCAGCGAGCCATGGAGAGTCCCAGTGAGACTAACCATGGCCCGGGAGCACTCCATGTGGGCCAGACCGGGAGCTTTGCAGGCTAGTGCATCCCCTTCAGGGCGGATCTTCTACAGTGCCTTGCACAACTCGGGCTCGGAGAGGTCAAGTAACTCCCCCAGGAGCGCCCAGCAGGCCCGGCATAAAGCCAGCATTGTCTGTGAAGTCCTGACGCGTCTCCCTGCCCCAGCCAGGGGACTGATGGCCTGTGTCCCAATTGTGTCTCCAGAAAACAGGTTTTTTATCACTGCCCACGGCGGGCTGTACATCTCCGACGTCCAGAAGGAGGACGCCCTGTCCACCTACCGCTGCATCACCAAGCACAAGTACAGCGGGGAGACGCGGCAGAGCAACGGTGCCCGCCTCTCCGTGACAGGTAGGCCAGGATTCAGGGAACCCGGGGGGGGGGGGGGGTGGCAGCCACGGGAAGTGGGGGGGGGGGGGGGCCTGGTCCCACCTGGCGTGGCATGCAGGCGCCCATCCTCAGGGTTCTGCGTGTGTCCGCCTGGCTCCGGGAAAGACCGGAGGCCACAGATCCAACCTGCTGTGTCCATCTAGCAGTGGGCAGCTGAGACTAACCATCCACTCCCTTGGTCTCTCCTGGCCTCCAGAAGTGCCTGGGCTCAGAGGGGGAGACGGGGATGGACCCCAGGAACAGAGCTGCTAGGCTCTGTCCTGGCCCCACCTCCTGCTCCCCGCTTGGCTTGGAAACCAGGAATCAGCTGAAGCCCCCCGGGGTGGCGGGGGGCCAGGGCGGGAACTGGAGAGATGGGAAGAAGGTCGTGTGCAGCTATGCCACCGTGTCTCTGTGCCTCATGGCGGGGGAGGGCTTCACTCTTCCCCTCCGGGCCCTGGGGTGCTCGGTGAGGGATGGTGTCACGCCCAGTGGGGACTGTGCAGTGGGCCTGGTCTGGGGTTTGGTTTGAGTTTGGGCTTTTGGATCGCAGCCGGCAGGGCTCAGGGCTCGCTCCTGCCTGGGCTCAGGGGGCTCTGAACGGTGACGGGATCAAACCTGGGTCAGTCACCCGCAAAGCAGACGCCTTACCCACTGTCCATCTCTCTGATCCCAAGGGTCTGTGGTTCCCTTCTACAGGGCATCCACAGTTGGATTTCCTCGACGGTGGCCAACAAGATCCAAAGGCCACCCCAGGGCAGTCTCAGCCAGGAGCCGGGTCCCCAGGGTGCCCTGAGCCCCCAGACTGAGGGGTTTCTGGGAGGCCTCCTGCCCCCCACCCCACCCCACAGCCCTGCGCCTGGCAGTGCTGGGTCCCTGCAGGCTGTCGCCTGTGCCCGCACAGCACCCTAGTCCTGCGCCGGGTAATGAAAGAGCCTCTTTCCCTCGGAATTTAATTTCACGCCTGAGACTCGGTGATTAATCCCCTCCCCCGCCCTCCCTCGCCGCCCCATCGGCCCCTCTGCTTGTAAATTCTGCCGTGTGCCCTGGAATTTGTGTATTCTGCATCAATTAAGTGTCGCATTGAGTAATTCTTCTCTGGCACTGGGTTTGTTTATCCCAACCCTTCCCTCGAGGGGTGGGGGTGAGAGGCCGAGGAGCCGGCGGGAGCCAGCGGGCACCGGGGCCATCGTGGGCCCAGCTGCCGGGATGCTACATCCTTCAGGCACTTTGGCAGGAGGGTCTGTCGCCGTCTGCACCGCCCGCCAGTGCTGGGATCAGGAGGCAGCTCAGAGCCCCCCAAAAGTCAGGCAAGGATGCTCAGGCCTACTAGCACCCTGGCTCCCCACCCCAGAAACCCCTCCTTCTGACGTGCTCTGGGAGGTAGAGAGGGACAGAGACTTCTCGAATCTCTCGTCCAAAAAGGACAGTCTTCGCCCACGCCCCAACCAGGAAAAGTGCCTGAGGGCCCAAGAAACCGCAGGAGGGACCAGAGGCTGCTCTCAGCCTTCACTTCAGAAGGGACCAGAGGCGGCTCAGTGGTGGGGCCTGGCAGCTGTGAGGTCTGGGCTCCATCCCCAGCTCTCACAGGCATGCACACACATGCGCACACACATGCACACATGCTTACACACACGTGCACACGCTCACACACGTGCACGTGTATATACTTGCTCACTGACACGCACACTCACATGCACACACACTCCAATGCACACACTCGTACACATTCATCCACATGCTCGCACACACATAGCACGTGCTCACACATGCACACATACGCGTGCACACGCTCACACACATGCACATGCATACACTCGCACACTAACATGCACACACTCAAATGCACATGCGCGTACACATTCATGCACATGTTCGCGTGCACATAGCACGTGTGCACATATGCACATGCTCACATACGCATGCACACATGCGCACACATGCGCACACATCTGCACGGGTACACTTCCACCCCCACGCAATTTCACACACATGCGCATCCTTTCACTCGCACTCACACACCCACATTCTCCCACATGTACACAGAGTTTCACGCACCCTCGAATACATGCACTGCCACACTCACATGCTCCCGCACACACAAACCCTAGGTGTTGCTCACTCAGGGCCGCATTGCGCCTCTGCTCCTTCCTCACTTCATCCACCCAGCCCAGGCTGGATGGGGCAACTCACCTCCTCTGCCTTCCAGATCCTGCCGAGTCCGTCCCCACCATCCTGGACGGCTTCCACTCCCAGGAGGTGAGGGCCGGCCTCACAGTGGAGCTGCCCTGCACGGCCTCCGGCTACCCGCTCCCGGCCATCCGCTGGCTGAAGGACGGCCGGCCCCTCCCGGCCGACAGCCGCTGGACCAAGCGCATCACAGGGCTGAGCATCAGTGCCCTGCGGGCTGAGGACAGCGGCGCCTACATCTGCGAGGTCACCAACACCTTCGGCTCTGCCGAGGTCACCGGCACCCTCACGGTGGTCGGTGAGTGTCAGAACCCTGTCCCTGTCCGGGAAGCCCCGAAGAGCCCGGGGTGCCAGATGGGAGGCGGTGCCCACCTCTGGCCAGCCTGGTTGGCGTCCAGGGAAAAGCGAGGGCTCAGAACTGAGGCAGCTGCTTTTGAGGTCTGGTGATTGGCTCTAGGTCAAGGAGCTCAACCTGGCCATCACCGCCCTGCACCTTTTGAAACTAGGGCTCATGGTCCCCACCCCCACCCCCACCCCTGCCTACCCACCATCCTCCCAGAGGTCATAGGGTTTATTTATTTGGATTTGGGGGCCACATCTGGCAATGCTCAGGGGTTACTCCTGACTCTGCACTCAGGAATCACTCCTGGTGGTGCTTGGGGCCTAGAGCATGCTGCAGGTTGAACCTGGATCAGCTGCAGGAAAGGCAAGCACCCTACCCGCTGTACTATGGCTCCGCCCCGAGGTCACAGGGGGATGGGACCATGTGGACTCACAGGCATCATGGCCTAGTGGGGAAGCAGTGTCTGTGCTAAAGGAAGCAGCCCTGCTGTACATTCATTCACGCGGGCCTTGGGGGCCTTTAGCAATGATGGATCAACTATCCAATCAGAGCACTGACCATCAGCAAGCAGTAAGCCTTTTCTTTTGCTCCCTGCCCTGCCCCTGTGCCCCATCATCTTGGCTGGCATAGACCCGCTTCACGTGACCCTGACCCCAAAGAAGCTGAAGACGGGCATCGGCAGCACTGTCATCCTCTCGTGCGCGCTCATGGGCTCCCCAGAATTCTCCATCCGCTGGTACCGCAACACAGAGCTGCTGAGGCCTGACGAGGCCGTGTCCATCCGCGGGCTCAGCAACGAGACTCTGCTCATCGCATCTGCCCAGAAGAGCCACTCCGGGGCCTACCAGTGCTTTGCTACCCGCAAGGCCCAGACGGCCCAGGACTTCGCCATTATTGTACTGGAGGGTGAGCTGGGGTGACCAGAGTCCCATGTGGGGGTGGGCTCCAGACCCCCAGAGTCCCACCAAGAGGTGCCCGCCCAGGCTCCCCCATTTCCCCAGCTGCCGAGATGGGGAACAGTGAGGAGAATGCTGTGGTTCAGCTTGCCAGGCAAACACCTTCCTCACCTTCCCTAGTTGGAGTGGAGAGCACGGTTGGTTGGTTGCTGATTGGTTTTTGGTTATTGGTTGTTGGTGGTTGGCTGGTTTATTGATAGTTGGTTATTGATTGGTTGGTGGTTGGTTGTTGATTGGTTGGTTGGTTGTTCATTGTTTGGTTGGTTTGTTGGTTTGGTGGTTGGTTGGTTGAGTGGTTGTTTTTTCTTGGTTATTGACTCATTTATTGTTGGCTGGCTGTTTGGTTTGTTCTCTTGATGGTTGGTTGGTTGGTTGAGTAGTTGTTGATTGTTGGTTATTGGATCATTGATTGTTGGCTGGTTCTTTGATTATTTTGTTGGCTTGGTGGTTTGTTGGTGAGTGGTTGTTTGTTGTTTGTTGGTTACTGGATCATTGATTGTTGTCTGGTTATTTGGTTGGTTGGTTAGTTGGTGTGTTGGTGTTTGTTGTTGAGTGATTGGTTGTGTGGTTGGTTGTTGATGCTTGGTTGTTGTCTCGGTGGTTGGTTGGTGTTTGGTTAGTTTGTGGTTGGTTGGTGAATGGTTGGTTGTTGTGGTTGGTTCTTAAATAGTTGGTTTTTGGATGGTTAGTTGGTTAATTGGTAGGTGGTTGGTAGTTGGATTGTTGCTTGGTGGCTGGTTGATTGGCTAGTTGGTGGTTGGGTGGTTGGTTAGTTGGATTGTTGTTGGTTGGTTGGTTGGTGGATGGTTGGTTGGTGTTTGGTTAGTTGGTTTGTTGGTGGTTGGTTGTTGAGTGATTGGTTGTTGATTGGTTGGTTGTTGACTGATTTGTTGGTTGATAAGTTGATTGGTTAATTGTTATTGTTATTGTTATTAACCAATCAACTTATCAACAGATTATTTGGCTGGTTGTTTGGTGGTTGGTTGGTTGTTGGTTAGTTTGTTTATTGGTGGTTGGTTGTTGGTTATTGATTAGTTGGTTGTTGGTTGATTAGTTGGTTGGTTAATTGATTGGTTAACAGAATGTTTAACAGAGCTCTTCAGTCCTCTCCCTCTGGTTGTTGACTGGTTGGTTGTTGGTTGGTTGTTTTGTTGGATTTTGGTTAGTTGTATGGTTAGTTTGGGGTTGACTTGTTATTGAATAGAGTAGGAAAATAGGGACTGTGGGCCCTAACCCAACTGCATATCCCTGCTTCAGAGCTGCAGCCTGAATTCAGGCCTCTTAACCTTTATACTCTTGCCCCTGCCTCTGAAATTGCTAGAACGTCTCTATTAGAGGGCCCAAAGCTCAGTCCCCAGAGCTCTTCAATCCTCTCCCTCCCAGGCTTCTTCCCTTCTTCCCAGCAAACTCTGTTTCTTTTCTCTCCCTTTTCTGTTCCTTTCGTGGGGGGTGGGCACACCTGGTGATCTTTGGGAACTATTCCCAAAACAGTGCTAAGGTTAGCTCCCAGCAGTCCTCAGGAACTATGCAGTGCTAGGGACTGAGCCCAGGCCTCCCACATACATTGTACCCAAGACACCAAACCCAGGATAGGCATGGGAGTGCCCAGACTTCTATGGAGGTGTCTAGACCACCATGTGTCAACTCTCCCAGCCTGAGAGCCCCATTCTGTGAGAGATGGGATGTAGGAGCGGCACCCACCGAACCTGGGCTCCCAGCCCCACCCGAGGAGAACAGCGGCTGGCTCCACTGTTTGAAGTATGTGCTGTTCACCCTGGGGCCCTTCATCTGAACCTCGCCTCACTGAAGTCTCTCTGCTCTCGGGGCACCAGCCCTGGCCCAAGCAGCAGTGCTGCAGTCTCACAGCTCTGCTTCTGCTCTGAGCGGGAGAAAGCTGAAAGTTAGCCAGCAGGTGCAGGAACACGGGAACAGGAGGCCAGGGAGGCCACAGGGGGGCAAAGGTAGCCACACTGCAGGACTGTCCCAGTTTGGCCAGGAACCATGCTCTCCTCTGGGATGGATCTAAGGGCCCACCCCCAGTGGGGCTGGGGGCCAGCTGCCTTTGTTGTGAGCTCTTTGAGGCCAGCAGCTTCCCCGTTACTCCCCCTTCTTCCCTGGCTTCTGCCTTCACTTTTTGAACATGTAATGCCAGTCACACCCTTTACAGAGGGGGGGGGGGTCTGTCCAGTGTCCAAAGTCCACACAGGGAGGCACGGCAGGCAGTTCTGGTCAGGGTTATGGGTGATCCAGGGCTCGTGCCACCCCAGACCTTGCCACACTGACTCTAGCTTCAGATTCTGTGTCTGGGGCTGCCATTCCTCCTGGTGCTGGACTCGTGAGCCCAGATGCTGCTGGTGCGCCTCAGAGGCTGAGCGTGGCGTGCATGTGCTAATGGGGGAGGGGGAGATGGGCCAGGAGCAGGGTCGGGAGCTCCACCAGGGCCTCCTGGAGTGCAGGCATTGATTTTCCCTCATGGCCCAGTGATGAGTCAGGGGCTCACAATCCCCATTTACTCCATCCTCCAAAAACAAGAATCAAAGGCACTGGCAAGGTTAAGTAACTTACCCAAAGACACACAGCACAGGGGTCCCATCCATGGAGTCTCTGCAGCCCCACCCTGGGATGTTTGGCTGAGACTTGGAGATAGCACCGCCCTGGCTCTTTATCTAAGGGTTATTTCTATTACCGCCTCCTCCTCTGGTGGGGTGGGGGGCCTGGAGCTCGGGACAGCCTCCCCCACGCGGTCCTGATGGGGGAATCCTTGCTCCCTGCAGATGGCACGCCCCGCATCGTCTCGTCCTTCAGTGAGAAGGTGGTCAACCCTGGGGAGCAGTTCTCGCTGATGTGTGCGGCCAAGGGTGCCCCGCCCCCCACCGTCACCTGGGCGCTGGACGATGAGCCCCTGGAGCGGGACAGCAGCCACCGCACCAGCCAGTTCACCATGTCGGACGGCACCACCATCAGCCACATGAACGTCACAGGCCCCCAGATCCGTGACGGGGGCGTGTACCGGTGCACGGCGCGGAACTCGGTGGGCAGTGCTGAGTACCAGGCGCGAATAAACGTAAGAGGTGCCTGTCTACATTTGAATCTCAGAATAGGCTTTTGAGTTCCTCTGCCATCTCTGTGGTTCCATCTTTCTCGTGGTGCTTATGTTATTTTGATTTTCGTGGCAGTGTCTCCTCGCCTCCGCTCCCTCGGCGCTGCCCTCCCCAGTGCTGGCGTCTGGGTGTGTCTGTGCGCGTGCCTGTGCCTGTGTCCATGCGTGTGGCTATGCGTCCCTGTGCGTGTGTGCATATGTGTGCATGCCTGTGCCTGTGTGTCTGTGTGCTCCTGTGCACATGTACCTGTGTGTGCCTGTCTGTATACCTGTGCATGTGCTTGTGCATGTGTGCGTATGTTTGTGCATGGGCTTATGTGTGTCTGTGTCTGTGTGCCCGTGTGTAATCTGAGTGTGTGTGTCCATGTGTGTGTCTGTGCATGTGTGTCTGTGTGTGTCTGTGCATCTGTGTCCATGTGTGTGCCTGTGCATGAGTCTGTGACTGTGTGCCCCTGTGTGTCTGAGCGTGTGTGTCCATTCATGTGAGTCTGTGTTTGTGCATGTATGTTTGTGTGTGCTGTGCGTGTGTCTGTGCATGTACCTGTGCATGTGTGCATGTATTCTGTGCACGTGCATCTGTGTATGCGCACATGTGCATCTGTGTGTGTCTGCATGTGTGTCTGTGCCTGTGTGTCTGGGTGTGTGTGTATACCTGTGCATGTGTGCATATATTCTGTGTGTGCATCTGTGCGTGTGCCTGTGTGTGAGCACATGTGCGCCTGTGTGTGTCTGCATGTGTGTCTGTTTGCCTGGGCGTGTGTGTGTGCCTGTGCATGTGTGCCCTCCCCCTCCTGCATTCAGACCTGCCCCACCCCCTGACTCCTCCCTGTCACCATCTCTCTGACCCCAGGTCACTGCGCCCCTGATAGTATCCACCCAAGGACCAGGACGGAGGCCTGGGGCCAGACTTGCTCTGTGCTAGGAGTGACCCCCAGGGTCTGTGCTTGCTGTGACCCCCCCCACCCGCAGCACCATCCCCCAAAGGCTCCAGAAGCCATAGCAGCCAGTGCCCCCAACACCCGCCCCCAAGGCCTGGACCAGCAAGAGTAGGAGGCTGGAACTGGGGTGGGTGCCCCAAGTCTAGACTTTAAGAGCAGGGCTACCCCACAGCTGTGCTCCCAAAGGACAGCAGAGGGGACAGGCACATCTGGGCTCTTTGCAGCCTCTGCCTTTGCCACAGAGACACCCCTCCCCACGGCCCGTCCCAACCCCCTGAGAGTCACAGAAGCCAAACCACGGAGAAGAGTGACCCTAGGACAGCGCCAGCCGCCCGTGACTGACCGGCGCCCCTGCCCCTCCTCTGCTCCCCCCTGCCTCCTGCCCAGGACCCCCCAGCATCCGGGCGATGAGGAACATCACCGCGGTGGCCGGGCGGGACACCCTGATCAACTGCAGAGTCATCGGCTACCCCTACTACTCCATCAAGTGGTACAAGGACGCGCTGCTGCTGCCCGACAACCACCGCCAGGTGGTGTTCGAGAACGGCACCCTGAAGCTCAGCGACGTGCAGAAGGGCATGGACGAAGGCGAGTACCTGTGCAGCGTGCTCATCCAGCCCCAGCTCTCCATCAGCCAGAGCGTGCATGTGGCCGTCAAAGGTGAGACTGGGCGGCCACGGTGGGGCGGAAGAGGCGGGGACCCAGGAATGGGCCGCCCGGGGATGCTCCTGAGCTCTGCCCACCTGGGGAGGCGGGGCTTGAGTCCGTCCCTGGCTGCCGATTGGCCGACTCAACCAGAGCCAGGATTGGCTGAGGCTTCCCGCCTCTCTTGCCACTCTGGCCCCGAAAGGTCCAGCTCAGACCCTCTTCCCAGGCCCTCCATGCCGGGGGGCCGAGGGGGCCTGGATTTGGATCTGGAGGGTGGTTCTCAGAATAGTCCTGGTGCCCTGGGTCAGGCCGCAGATGTTGGGGACCCTGTGAGTGCAGGCACAGACATGCAGCAGAGAGGGAAGGGGACTTGCTGGTGATGGGGGAACCCTCGCACTGTGCCGCTGAGAGCACCCAGAGGTGCCCAAAGAGACCTTGCAGGTGGGTGGGGAGCAGTGGGGTGGAGGCGGTGTGAGGGACAGATGCGCAGTCACCAACCGGCCATGCCCAGTGGGGCGGGGGGCGCTCCCCAGCTCAGGAGGCTCAGCAGGAGGTTGTGGGCCTGCATCAAACGCCCCCGGCTCTTTCCTCAGGCAGCTCTGAGATACAGAAAACCTTTCTCTGGGATCCCCTGGGACCCGGGGAAATCCCAGGTTTAACCCTGGTGCTGTCTCAGCTCCCTGTCCCCTCCCTCCTCACTGCTGAGAGAGAGTAGGTGAGAGCCGGAGGCGGCTGGGGTGCCCTGCCCTGTCCCCCAAGGGCAGCCTGAGCAGGAAGAAAGCTCACCCAGGCTCGGGGCTCCTGGGAAGGGGGATGATGGGCTGAGCCTGGAGGGTCTGGCCCGCGGGGTCCTCGATCAGTTCCAGAGTCCTGGGGTATGAAGACAGGGAGGTGGGGATGCCTGGGGTCCAGCCCTATGCGGGTGGGAGGGGAGGAAGTAGTGGGCTGCGGCCACCAGGACCCTGACTTCTCTCCTCTCTCCATTCACCCTCACGGTCCTTGGGGTTCCTCGTCATGGGCGCCCAGCACCCCCACCCCACCCGCAGAGAGCAGAGTGTCCCCCACTGGGAGTGCGGCCTGGGTTGGACTGACTTCCCGGGGGTTTGGGGAGCCCCGTGAATGGTGGTGGGGGATCGCCTTCTTGGGCTTCTGGAGGTGGGACCCCTCTGGGTGTCCCCTCCTCTTTAGTCTCAGGCTGCTGTCAGACTCGGGGGCCAGACGCCACGAGCCTCCTGCTACCAGGAAGCTCACGCCCGGGGCCACAGCGCACAGCCCGATGGCCAGAGTGTCCCCACCACCCCACCCCAACCCACACACACACCCAGAAGCCGGCCGCCCGCCAATACGCATCTCTGCTGTGTGCAGCCAGCCGGGAGTTTACTGTGTCAACAGCACATATGAAAACATCTGACCTTTGCTCCGCTCCCCTCACCCGCCGGCCCAGCAGGCATTTGGCTGGTGTGTCACCCGAAAAAAAAAAATAAGGAAAGAACAGGACTCCAGCGGGCCCCCGAACGCGAGGAACATCCTGCGAGCTGTCTCTGCTCATCAATTATTCAGCCCATTCAGGAGACGCCTCCCAGCCACCGAATCGGCTGCTGCCGGCTCAGCCCTGAGCTGCTGCGATTACAGGAGCCCCTGGGTCCCCTGTCCGGGGAGGGTGGGGAGCGTGTGGGTGCTGTGAACAGGGGGAGGGAGTGTGCGCGTGTGTGTGTGTGTGTGTGTGTGTGTGTGTGTGTGTGCAGGAGGGAAGGAGTGTGTGTGTGTATAGGAGGGAAGGAGTGTGTGTACAAGAGGAAGAATGTGTGTATATGAGGGAAGGAGTGTGTGTGTGTGTGTGTATACGGGAGGGAAGGAGCATGTGTGTACAAGAGGAAGAAGTGTGTGTGTAAAGGAGGGAAGGCGTGTGTGTATATGTATAGGAGGAAAGGAGTGTGTGTCAACAGGCGGAAGAAGTGTGTGTATACAGGAAGGAAGGAGTGTGTGTGTGTATTTATGTACAGGAGGGGAGGAGTGTGAGGTGTGTGTGTGTGTGTGCGTGAACAGGAGGAAGGAGTGTGTATACAGGATGGAAGGTATGCATGTGTGTGTGTATGAGTGTGTATATGAGAACAGGCTGTGTGTGTGTGTGTAGAAGGAAAGGAGTGTGTGTGTACAGGAGGAAAGAGTGTGTTTGTGTGTGTGTGTGCTTATGTGTGTGAGAGCTCACAGCATAGAGAAGGCATTCATGAAGCGTGTGTGTGTGTGTGTGTGTGTGTGTGTGTGTGTGTGTGTGTGCAGGGAGACAGGCGTATGTGCCGCGCATGTGGAACACACCCACTCTTCCTCAGCCACGGGGTCCAGAAGTGCCCCCTCGAAGGGCCTGGCCCCCCTCCCTGTCCAGGCCGGGCAGCAGCAGTGTTTGGTTGGGGCCTGCGCCCGCCCGCGCCACCCCCCTCATTAGCATGCACCCCGCAGAAGCCGTCAGAGCTGATTATGAGCTGCAGCTTGATTAGCTGACGCGCTGTTCCAAGAGCGGCTCAGGGGGGTGAGGGGAGGAGCCCCGGGTGGGGAGCAAGGGCCCAGAATCTGGGGGAGGCAGGGTAGGACCCCCGCGTGCTTAGCCCACGCCAAGCAGCAGAGCAGACGGGAGGACAGAAGGGGCAGGAGGAGGTGACACTGTGACGCCACTTGGGTCCCAGCCCTGTCCCCATGGGGACATGACTTCCTGGGCAGCAGAGGGACAAGCCAGGCTGCCCCGAGCCCCTCCTCCTGGACGTGCTCATAGTCCGGTGCATTTGCCAAATGCCAAGCTAAGAGCAGAGCCCACCAACACGTGTGCGCGTGCGTGCACAGTCCTGTACACGGTGCATCCTGTGTGCGTGCATCAGCGTGTGCTACAGGCCTGTGCACACAACATGCGGGCATGAGTGGGTGCGGACCTGCTGGCACACGCCCCCATCCTTTCCCAAGCCCTGGAAGGCGGTGCCAAAGGGAATGTCGGCCCTGGGCCTACCTGGACCCAGCCAGGTCGGGGGGCTGAGGGGACAGAGGGGACACCGGCTCCCGGAGACGCTGGGCTGGGACACGCGTGACTGTCTTCTCTCACGCCCCCTTCACCCCGAGCTGCAGGGAAGGGAGCCTGCCTCTGGGTGTCCGGAGAGCTCGTTGGCAGAGAGGGAAGAGGAGCTCGCATAGATCCAACCTAGATTTGCTGTCTTTAGGGCCCCCCTGTCGCTGGAAAATAATGCTGCATAAAAGCCTCTCTGGGCACACGGGCTGAATGTTTAATTAACTACCAGGACAGCGCCGACTGCCTCCTCGGCGTGGGCTCGGTGTGGGAACGTCTCCATCTGCACATCTGAGCCCAGAGGGTCTCCGGGGTCCAGCCAGGGCTTGAGGTGCTTTCTATCCTACTCTGCGAGGCCAGGAGTCCGCGGAGGTGCCAGCTCCCTGCAGAGTGCCAGGGCAGATGACGAGTGCATGCACACACACACACACGCACACACACATGTGCACACACCCTCCCTCCTGGTGCCCATTCTCCTGCCCTCTCTGCTGTCCCCCACCTCATCACCCTCTCAGCTCCAGGCATGCTGGGGGAGCAGGGAGCCTGCAGGAGACCCTCGCTCCTTCCCACAGTGAAAGGATGAGGCGTTTCCTTGGTCTGCGGGGTTCACGGAGTCAGCCACCTGGCCACATGCCTGCTATTGGCAGGGTGGGGGGTTGGAAGGAACACGCCGGAAGTACGGGGGTGGGGAGCCACAACAGGGGGGGAGGGAACAGAATGCCCGCTGGTCCCGGGCAACGGTGCCCAAGAAGCTGCTGCGAGCAGCTTTGTTCCTCAGCAGAGAATCTGGGACGTGGCACCAACATCTCCCTACAGGGATGAGACAGATGCTGGGTTGTGATGGAGATTGCGGTCCCCGTGCTCCCTCCCACTGCATGCTCCGCCCCTCGCCCCTGGCCCAGCACCCGGCACCCGGCATCCACACAAGCCCCTGACCTCGGCACACTTCCCTGCACCTGCGGATGGAGCATCCACGACCCATCCAGAGGTTTCCTTTGTCACCGCAAGAGCAGATGCGGGCATAGTGGTGGGGGGGAGGGCTTTGCTGTCTCATTTAGTGTTTGTCATTGGAGGGGTCACACCCAGTGAGCCCGGGAGCTTGGGCTCACCCCCATATTGAGTCTGAGTTGAGGAGACTGTGGAGCCAGGCATCAAACCCAGGGTCTCGCACCTGCAACTGTGCCACCCCGAGCCTGGTTGGCAATTTATACATTTTTCTTTCTTTTTTCTATTTTTTTTTCTTTTTGGTTTTTGGTTTTGGGGCCACACCTGGCACTCAGGGCTGACTCCTGAGCTCAGGGATCACTCCTGGCAGGGTTCTGGGAACCATTTGGAATGCTGGGATCGAGCGTGGGTCACCCCTGTGCAAGGCCACTGTATTCTCCCTCCCACCCCTGTGTTTGCAAATTTAAACACAGTCCCCAGGGCAGGTCTCCTGGGAAGAGACGGTTCGTTATGTACAGGCAAGAAGTGACGCATTGTCCTGGAGTATCTGCGTACCCCCACCTGGGTCTTGACGCATGCCATTGCAGTGACTTAGTTTATCACCCCCATTTTGCAGGGGGGGCTGAGGGCTGGCTCACAGACACAGCAGGAAGCTAGCAGGAAGCCAGGGATCTCCCCGCCAACCCCACTCTGGACCTGGCTTTTGGGGGGGAACATCTTTAGGCCTTAACTCCTCTGCTACCCTGCATAGCAAATAAAATTTCCAGGTGCAGAAAAAGCCAAGCCTTAAAGCATTTCTGGGGGACTGGAGCAATAGCACAGCGGGGAGGGCGTTTGCCTTGCACGCGGCCGACCCGGGTTCGATTCCCAGCATCCCATATGGTCCCCTGAGCACCGCCAGAGGTAATTCCTGAGTGCAGAGCCAGGAGTAACCCCTGTGCATCGCCAGGTGTGACCTAAAAAGAAAAAAAAAAGCATTTCTGGGCAGAGGTGGGGTGGGGCGGGCCGTCCTCCTGCAGCTCCCTGCGAAGAGCAAAGAGCACTGTAAAGATTTAGTGGTGACCAGGCTGTGTCCCGGGAAATGCCAGGGCTCGGGGACGCCCTGCAGGCTGGGGTTCACTCTGCAGCATTGTCCCCTGAGTGAGCAATTCCTGCAGGGGCAGGCCCAGAACCCCGACCCCCAGGGCAGCTTTCCCTGGTGTAGACTCACACCTGGCTGGTGGGCGCCCCTGAGCCCTCAGCCGCCCTCACCTGCCCTCTGCAGTGCCATCACAGCTTCCCATCCTCTCCTGTTCTCCTCCCGGCCAGGAGACTCCCTCCTGTTGTTCTCCTGTGCCCTGAGGGACAGGGTTGCAGCTGTGGGATTCTGGGGGCAGCGCTGCTCCCCACCCCGCACCTCCCACCCATGCCAGAGAGCAGACTTGTCAATCACAGCATGACCCTTCCCGCCCCCTCCCAGGGATGGAAGGTGGAGGGGAGCAAGTTGCCTGCCGCACTTCTCCGGGATTGGTCTGTCTCTCATGGGTCAGGGCCTCCCCCGGGGAGCACTGGCAAGCCCAGGGGGTCCCCCAGAGAGTGGACGCTACTTTGCTTTGCTTCCATAGCCTGTCCTGGTGCTTCCTGACACCAGAGAGAATGCAGAGTAGCGGCCGTGGGCCTGTCCCTCAGCCCAGATGCTTCCTGGGCCATCCGGGTCCTTGAACTCGGGGGACTGCCAGCTCCCAACAAGGTGCCTCCAACCCGTGCCCTGAGCCGAGCTCCCTGACCCCGTCAGGGCTGGCGAGGGGGGATGCTGTTCCGACCCCTCCGAGCTCCAGGCGCCTCTCTCTGCCGCCGTCATCTCCTCTCCCCGGCCCACACGGCGCGGAGTGCCTTCCCCGGCAGGCATTTCATAAATATTAGATGAATTGGTTAATTAATGAATGAACCTGCCTGAGTCACTCGCGGGCTTCGCTAAGCCCCTCCTTGCCGAGGGAGCCGGCTGCCCCCGCCCGCCCAAGCAGAGCCTCTTCCTGCTCTCGCCCTCCCCCGCCTCCCCCCTCCCCCCTTCACCCTCAGCAGCAGGTGCTCGAAGACCCGCCTGACTCCCGGCCCTCCTGGCTGTGCCCTCGTCACCTCTGCCACCCCTCACGCCCACCCCAGTAAGCACAGTAAGGTCCTGACCCCGACCCAAGGCAGGAGCCAGGGAGAGGCCCCGCCCCCAAACTGCACCCCAGGGAGTGATGTCTGCAGCACCCCGAGGATTGGCGCACACCCCCTCTCCGCCGTTTGTGCTCCCCTACTCCCTCCTGGGTTGACTCCTCACCACCCAGGATGGTTTCTGCTGAAGCTTGGGAGGGGTTCCCTACCCTTCTCCTGGTCAGGCAACCTAGTGTCTGCCCCCAGGAGCTCCCGATTCCCAGGGGAGCGGATGGCACCATCCCCCTACCCAACCCCGCCTCCAATACCACATGACAAATGCCATGGTCTCCAGGGTGGGTGGTTAGGGGGAGGCAGGCTTCCTGGAGGAGGTGGCATGAGCACAGGGTCTGAGAAGGAAGGGTCTTAGTGGCAGCAAGCAACAGAGTAACAGGCGGGTGTCTGCCATGGCTCCATCCCCAAGTCCCAGAAGGGCAGGGGTGAGACTCCAGGGGCATCACGCCTGCCCTGCATGTCCGAGACCCTGAGGCTCGTCCCGGGCACTGCATGGGCTCACTGTACACCTCTGCATGTGGCCCTGGTGCCCCCCTCACCCCATTCAGAGCACTACCCACAGGGCTCAGCATCCCCGAGAGAGGCTCTGGGACCCCTGCTGTCCTGGGGGTGGCCCCTGCCAAGAGACAAACCTCAAAGAGGCTGCATCTGATAAGACACCAAGACAGGGCACCCCCAGCGTCGGGCAGAGGAAGCCTGGGGAGAGCTGATGCAGGCACGGAGCCGTGAGGCTCCAGATAAACCCCCGACACGTGCTTGGGACCCCGTCCTAGGAGAAGGGCCCCGGCCAGTGGGATACAGCGGTCAGAGATGGGAGAGACCACACACCACCCCTGAATCCGTGAGCACTGGAGATCAGGATTGGGGTAAGGGGTCTGAAGCCGATGGTGGAAGGGATGGAGTGGTGCCCAGCTCTGCTTCCCAGACTGGTGTCCACTCAGAACAGAGGTCCAGGTCACGGGGGTCAGCTGCATCCCGGACAAAGACAGCGCCTCTCCCAAAGGTCACTCCCCAGCCCTGGAGCAGGGTCCCCGGATGGCGGCCAGAGCTTTCGGAAGCTCACCAATAGCTTCTTCCTGACCACCCCCTACCAAGCTCCCAGAAGTGCTGGGGGAGGGGGGGTGGGCAGGGACTATGGGCATGCCCAGGACGTCACCGTCCCTTTGGGTGGGCCCCGGGTGGGGGTTCGCGGGCTCTGTGGAGCCTGGAGGCAGGCAAGGGCAGTGCCCAGCCTTGTAATTCAATTATTCGACTGCAGAAAGGACATCTCATCTACTGGGTGCTCATCCTTGTTAAACTAATTGTCTGTCTCCTTCTCCCTTCTCCCCCACTCGCGGGGGAAGCCGCCGCCGCCTAATTGAGTTATCATAAAAATAATGGCTGATGCTCCAGCCAGGGCTGGGCACCAGAATTCCACTCAGCCTGGCAGCCCGGGCTCCAGACAGGTCCCCGGGGGCTGCGATGTGGGCAGCGGGCAGGGGCCAGGGACCTCCACTCTGGGATGCTGGCCCCCGGGGTTGCTCAATTCAGGACAGGCCTGCGGCGAGCCCACCGGACAGCTGAGGGAAGAAACCTTGAACTCAGCGCAGTCTGCACCAGCTGCATCTCTTTCCTGCCCCCTCTGAGCCCTGAAAAGGGGCCCCCTTGGCTTGTATCCCCCCACCCCAGGGCCCAGGCTGGAATTCAGGGAGATGATGTGTCTGACCGGAAGAAACTTGAAGTGTCAGGAGTGTGGTTCTGCCAAACACGGGGTGATCCTAGAGTGGGCAGGTGGACGGTGGAGGCTCTGCAGAGAGAACCCCGGGGCAGCCGCTGCTTCCAGAGGAAGATTATTCTGGCAGTTCATGGGGGTCGCCCTCAGCACCCCCTGCCTCCCCACCTCTGTTGGTCCAGGGCTCCTGAGCGTGGTGAGGTGCATCGCTGGGGTGAGAGGTGGAACCACGCACAAAGGCTGTCAGGGGCATGGGCTGGGGACGGGGGTCAGGGAGAACACAGTCGCCAGGACAGGCCTGCAGGGTCCTGAGCAGAGACCGGAGCAGGCCTGGGAGGGCAAGACGGGAGCTGGGGGGGATGGCTGGGCACCCTGCGGAACCAGGTGTCCAGGTGGATGCTATTCGTGGCGAGCCCAGGGAGGCCGCACTGCTGGTCAGCGGGCGCGGGAGCCTGACCGGACCTCCCCCGGCCCCCAGTGCCCCCTCTCATCCAGCCCTTCGAGTTCCCGCCCGCCTCCATCGGCCAGCTGCTGTACATCCCCTGCGTGGTGTCCTCGGGGGACATGCCCATTCGCATCACGTGGAGAAAGGACGGCCAGGTGATCATCTCGGGCTCGGGCGTGACCATCGAGAGCAAAGAGTTCATGAGCTCCCTGCAGATCTCCAGCGTCTCCCTCAAGCACAACGGCAACTACACCTGCATCGCCAGCAACGCGGCTGCCACGGTCAGCAGGGAGCGGCAGCTGATCGTCCGAGGTGAGCCGTCCGGTCTGGGGTCCCAAGCCCCCTGCCCCAGGCCCCGCCCCTGCCCAGGCCACGCCCAGAGCCCTATCTGAGCCTTCTGCCCCAAGGCTCCACCCGAGTCAGGTCCCGCCCCCGCCCCAGGCTCTGCCCCAAATCCCACCTCGAGGCCCCTGCTCCAAGGTCCTGCCCTAGGCCGTGCCCAGAAGCCCCGCCCAGAGCCCTATCCTGAACCTTCTGCACTCCCAGGCCCCGCCCCCAGGCCCTGCCCCAGACCCCGCCCCAAGCCCAGCCTCAGGCCACGCCCCAGCCTCCCTGCCCCACCTAGAGACCCACCCCGGGCTCCCTCACCCTGAAGCCCCGCCCCATATGCCGCCCAGAGTCACGCCCCAGGCCACACCCCAAGTCCTTTCCCCAGGCCCTGCCCCAAGGCTCCGACCCAAAGCGCCTCTCCAAGACCCCTCCTTCCCCCCACCCCCCACCCCCGCCTCCTCACTACCCGTGCCACCCCCTGACACCCCACTCTGAGCCCTGCCCTGAGCCTCGGCCCAGGCTCCCCTGCCCTCTGCCTCTCGGATTTGGGAGCTACTTGTCCCCCGTTTTGAAAAGCCCCCGCGGGGCTGGTGTTGAATGCCAGGGTGGCGCCCCGGAAACTGATGAGCTCTTTTCTCCCCTCCCACCCCCTCTCTCGGCAGTGCCCCCCCGGTTTGTGGTCCAGCCCAACAACCAGGATGGCATCTATGGCAAGGCTGGGGTGCTCAACTGCTCTGTGGATGGCTACCCCCCACCCAAGGTCATGTGGAAGCATGCCAAGGGTGAGCCCCAGGGCCCAATGGGGGGCATGGGAGGGGACTGAGTCGGCCTGCTCCATAACCCCCCCACCCACGGGGAGCCCTTGTGTTGGAGTTTAGAGGGACTGGGCTCTGCCTGATGTGAAGTTACCCGCAGCCACCCCAGGGGTCTTGGTCAGAGGCAGGTGTCCTGCTTGACCGTGACCTCTTGTTCCCCCTGATGGGCCTGTCCCTCCCACCCTAGACCCCCCTCTCACCCCCCGGGCCCCAGAACACCCCACCAGACTTTCATTTCTCCATCCACCCATTCTGGGATCTCCTGGGATCCAGCATCACCCCCTTTTGGCACCAGGAAGCCGGAAGCCAGTCACTGAACCTGGGGCATGTCTGGTGCCAGCCCTGGGGAGGGGTGTCCCAGAGCCCCCAGTTTGGAGGCCTAAGACCGGGCTGGGGGCAGCTGCCCGCTGAGAAGCCCGTCTTCCCTTCGCCTGTGTGGGAAGGCTGTGTGGGCTCCCCTGTGGCCCCACCTCCCTCACCCTGCTCCTCCATCCAGGGAGCGGGAACCCCCAGCAGTATCACCCGGTGCCCCTCACCGGCCGCATCCAGGTGCTGCCCAACAGCTCGCTGCTGATCCGCCACGTCCTGGAAGAGGACATCGGCTACTACCTCTGCCAGGCCAGCAACGGCGTGGGCACGGACATCAGCAAGTCCATGTTCCTCACGGTCAAGAGTGAGTCCCGCCCCTCCCAGGGGCCCCCCGCACACACCCCCAAACCCCTCTCTGCATGCACCCTGCCCGGTGGATGGACCCCGTTCAGAGGCGTGCAGGGACCCTCAACTGGGGGTCTCCCAGGCACTTCATTTCCAACAGAGCCCTCACGCCCCAGGGTCCCTCTGTGCCCCAGTCCTGAGACACTCGTGATTTGTAGCCTTGGGTGACAATCACTGCCGTGTGTGTGTGTGTGTGTGTGTGTGTGTGTGTGTGTGTGTATGCGTTGGCATGTCACCCAGCTGCTGACCTGGAGTGCAGGGACTGACCCCGTTGGAGAAGGGGCCAGGGCAGAAACCCCCCTTCCCACCCCTCTGTCACCTCTCTGGGGTCTTGTGCTGGAGCCTCATCTCCAGCCCCCACCCTAACTCCCCCCCATCCAGGAGCTGATCACGAGGGGAGCACGCTCTGGGGGTGCTGAAAGCACAGTCACATCCGTTAGCCCTGGGGGGCTGTAACTGGGTGCAGGGCTGGCCCCCGTGGCCTGGGCGTGCTCAGGGAGCCCTGGATTCTGTCAGTCACATACGTACCATTCCTCCGCGGTGAGCCCACCCTCAGAGCGGAATGCCACCCGCTCCTTACGGGGGACACAGCATAAGGACAGTGTTCGAGTGGGCATGGAGGCCAAGTGGGTGGCATGCTGAGGCCCTCGTGTCCTTTGACCTCACTGCACCTGCCTTCCCAAAGTGAGGCCGACTCTCGCCATCGTGGCTGTTAGGTTCGGTGTCAGGACCAAGTCAGCAGGGGCTGGCAGGGTGACCCGTCCGGGTCCCTGGCCCCCCAGTGGCCGTTCTGTGCTTCTCCGTGGTTGACCGCCAGTGTGGGCACGTGGGGACAAGGCAGCCGGGCGCGGGGCCCGCGTGTTGTGGTCTGCCTGCGCTCGGCTCAGCCCAGCCGCAGCAGCCGGGGAAGCCGGCGATCGATGCTCCGGGAGCTCGCGCCGGAATCCCCGCCCTGGGGAGCCGCTCCCCTCACACTATCAAAAAGCACTTTGTCCTTAATAAAACCAGGCAATCAATCTACATCCTTCCGCCGGGGAGAGCGCTGCTAATTCGCCCGCGTGCGGTAGGAGGCCTCGGAGGCACCGCGCGGGTGTGGAGCCGTGCTCGGAATCCACTCCATGTTCTCCGGCCTGCGGGGGAGCGGCCCACACCTCCCCACACTCCTCTGGGTCTCAGGGTTGCCACTGGGCTCGGGGGCAGGGCTTTGGCACGTGGTTTCCCTGGGGAGCTGTTCCTGGCATCCTGGGGTCCCGGCTGCATCACATCCCCGCCCCAGACCGGCGTGTTCCCATCTGTCCACACCTTTCCACCAGGCAGCAGCTACGAGCTCCCGTGTCGGGGGAAGCTTGATTTGTGAATGCGGGCAGCCTGGTGAGCATGCGTGCCACAGACCCCACGGTCTCAGACACCACTCGCAGACGCACTCAGACACACACACACACACACACACACACACACACTCTCAGACACGCACACACATACACGCTCAGACACACACAGACACACACGGATACATGCAAGCAGGAACACACTCGCACACACACATATCTCATCCATACACACACGCTCTCATATGTTCACACACACTCACACAGACACACACTTGCACATCGCAACCTCTCAAATATCCACACTCCTACATGCGCTCACACAGACTCACACACTCAGTCACACGCACTCTCACTCAGAGTGACACACTCACACTCAGACACACACATAGACACACACATTGATACTCGCAAGCAGGAACACACTTGCACACACACATATCTCATCCATGCACACATGATCTCATATGTTCACACACACACAGACATACACTTGCACATCGCACCCTCTCATACATCCACACTCCTACATGCGCTCACACAGACTCACACTCAGTCACACACACTCTCACTCAGAGTGACACACTTACACTCAGACACACTCTCACGCAGACACACATCCACTCACACACTCTCTCACACGCAGCCTCATACCCACTCACACGTGCGTACACACTAACCACTCACACATCCACACACGCGGTGGTGTTAGCCTGGCCTCACTTCTCCCCAGGGACGGGTCCCCAGCAGCCCAGGGCCCTGAGCCCCCCGGCCCCGCCCCTATCCCAGCCACCTGTCTGTCCGCTCTCCCTCCTGACTTCTGTCTGCTCGTCGCACAAACGTCTCAGGTTCTCTTTCCCCTCACTCAGTGTCCCTCAGCACTCCCCCCTCCAGCCCGCCATCTCCCAACTGTGGCCACTACCCTCAGGCTCTCCAGCCGCAGGCTCGCGCTCCCTCCCACGTTCCGACCTCACCCCCTTTCTCCGTCCCAGCCCCACCATGCAGCTGGCCAGTCTGTCAGCCAGAGGGAGTTTGGTGAGAGAAGAGCCAGGGCGGGGCCCCGGTGTTGAAGGGTGGGAGTGCGCACGGGATGCTCCTGGCCTTCTGGAACATTCCAGAATGTTCTGAAATGTTCTGGAATGTTCCAGAATGTTCTGGAATATTCTGGAACATCTGCTCAGCTGCTCCAAGCCCCTCCCCACACACCAGCCTTCTCTGACCTTTACCTCCCCTCTCCCCCTAATCCCATCCTCCATGCTGCCTTCCCATGCGAGAGCAAAGGGAAGTGGGGACCTGCCCTCAGGATCGGTTTGGGGGCCAGCAATGGCACTACCAGGGCCAGGCCAGGCATCCCCATCATCGCCCAATTCAGACCTGGCGCTCACCCTTTTGTGAGGCAACTGGGGTCGTGTGTCACGTTCGCCAAGCGCATAAATATGGCAGAGGGGCACGCCTCGTGAAGGGCAGTCGGGCTGGAGTAGATGTCTGTGGCTGCCCTGCTGGAGAGTGACCCCCCTCCTCACGGTGTCCAGTGCTGGCTCAGCAGAAACTCCTGAGCACTGCACACGCAGATCTCAGGGCCCAGGCTTGGAACCAGACAAAGGGAACCCGATTCACCATTGAACTTTGACAGGAAGTGGGGTGAGGGGGAGGGCACCCAGCCTGAGACCTGAACTCTCAAACTCTCCCTGGCACTGCGGCACCGGAATCCTTGTTACTCGCTGGCACCGTTGCAGTGACGCCGTGTCCAGGGAGAGCACCGTAGCGGGCTTCGCTCACCTGCCTTGGAAGCCTGGAGTGGGCTTTGAGTTCAGTCCCCTGCCCCGCCACCCATGCCCCGAATAACTGTGACCCCTGCCCTAAGCTCTGCTGTCTGGGTCCATCCTGGCACCGTGGCAGAGCATGTTCCTAAGAATGGCAGCTCTGCCGCCCTCAGCAGAACCACAGAACCACAGCCACCGTAAAGACAGACACAGGGCAGGGAGGACCGAGGTTTTACCATCCTCTCCTTTGAAATGTCACTGTTGGGCCACACGTGGTGGCACTGAGGACTTCCTCCCGGCTCTATGCTCAGGAATCACTCCTGGCGGTGCTCAGGAGACCCTATGGGATGCCGGGGATCGAATCTCCTCCCGGAGGTCACAGGCAAACACCCTCCCCACTGGACTATTATTCCGGCTTTCTTTTTGGAATCTTTAATTTTTCGCGTCAGCGGGCGATGCGCTTATGCCAATGAATTCAGTGTTCGTCCCAGAAATACACGCGCCCCGGCGCTGTTCGCGGCCGCTCCTTTGAGGTGCGGCAGAGCCGCTGCTGAGGGCGGCAGAGCTGCCATTCTTGGGAACACGCGCGTCTCGAGAGGAGTGAGACGTGCCCCAGACAGCTGTGACGCCCCAGATGCCGGGTGACTGAGGAAGCGAGAAAGCAGGCGACAGGATGACTCGGGCTGGCGTGAACCCGAACGTCGGGACCAGGAGAAAAGTCACACGAAGGCTCTTGTGTCTGAGGAGGGCCTGGAGGGGTGAGGAGGGTGGTGATGAGCTCCGGCAGGGGGTGACAGAGCCCGGGAAGGGCGGGAGGTGTGGGGGCACGGGGACTCAGGGTGTCTGCTGAGGGTGACGGAGGGGGAGCAGGGGGGGATGGAGCGAGAGCTGGGGGCTTCTGCTGCTGAGCACTCTTGATAGAGCGTGTTTGTGTGACCTGCAATGCTGCTGATCGAATTGGCCCCACGTGCAAAGCGTTTGCTCCCTGTCTGAGCGTTTTCTATCCTGATGCCAAGCCCCAGTACCGTGCCTGAAGCTTAGAGAGTTGGGGGAGTCAGGGCTGCAGGCAGTGTGGACTCTTCCATGGCGTGCCAAGTCGCCCAGGGTATGTCAGAGCAGAGACGTGGCTTTCCACCCTGGTACACGCTTGCTGGCGGCCAAGCAGTCCTGACTGCACCCCCACACACACACCAAAAAAAAAAAAAATTCCTTCTGCCCACTGAGCCCAGGAGAGCCTGGGGTCAGCCCAGTTTTGACCCCCATCCCTGCCAGTGCCCCCACACACACTTGGCCAAGTGCTTCAGACCTTACCTGAGAGGTTGGCCCCTTCTGGGGCAGCCCTGGGTGGTCCCTTCCTAGCTGGGACCAAAAGTGGCTTCTATAGATTGAGCGTTTGTGGGGAGGCTGAGGGGGGAGAAACGGAAGCTGGTCGTGGTTCTGTGACGTACCAGCTGAGTGTTGCCACCTCTGGGCCTTGGTTTCCCCGTCTGAGTGAGAGCAGGCCCAAAGGAGAGTGTGACCCACAGTCCACTGAGTCCTGTCCATCCATCTGATTCCAGCAGTGTGACCAGGTCAAAGCAGGGCACCAGACCGCCTTCTAGAGCCAGGCTGAAAAATCAGGGTAATTAGCAGCAGAAACAACCACTTCCCCAGAACTGCCTTTTCCCTCCCTTTTCAACTGAATCAGACACATAATGACCCGTTGGAGGTGGCAGCAACTTCGCCCCCCCGACCCGTGGAGAGAATGGGAACCTCTTTGGAGTGAATCCCCACCCAGGGCCCCTGTGTGCAGAGGTCACACGATTGGACCGGCCCATTTGGCCCCCACCGTGCCTGGGCCCAGCGTAGCCCGTGGCCAGTCAAACCCA